TCGACCGCGACAGGATGCAATTGACTCACTTTTCGTTTTACGAACACGATACAACGTAATCAGAGTACGCATACCGCCTGTTTGAGACCAGTTACGGCGGCTAAAACGCCTAATGTTGTCTGTAGGGTACTGCATTACATAGGTTTACAATTGTAAGGACATTTCCTATTACTTCAGTTATCATCCAAATCTACTTTTCTAAATAAAAGTTGAATATTAAAAGAAAGGTTGAAGTAGAACCATAAAAGGGGTCACTGATCTATGAAAACTCTGTGTCGTGAAAGGAAATGCGGCGGTTGCGGCCTGAAAGCCAAAAAGCAGTGATGTGCCTGCGAAACTCCCGCCTTTCGCTGGCGAATTTTCAATCTTCTGCCTTCAAAGCTTAGGTCTCAACAGGAAGTCTTTCAATTCTATTTTTATGTGGTGCGGCTACAAGGATGGCTCCCGGATACGGTAGCCCTTCGCAGATGTTCCTCGCGTAAATAGGTTTTCAATGCGCTATTTAAAGCATAATCACCATAAATGGAAAGGTTATGAAATGCATTATTCTGCAAAACGTATTTCGTTTTTAAAAACTCCATCTTTTTTATCTTATTCTAAACCAAATCAGGTGAAATAATCCGAAATGGACCATGTTTCTTTAAGCGAATTAATCTGACATAAAATCTGACCGCGCAAATTAAATAAAACTTCTGCACAATTTTAATTCTGAGAGGTTGGGCTTTAAAACCGTATGAGAATTTTTTCGATACTCTTATTCATTGCTTTGCGATCTATCAGTCAAGTTTGCTGACCAAAATTTCTCTGATAAGTATTACGTCGGAGGCCATTGCGGTCAATCCGGCAATTCGTTTTTAAAAACGGAATTCCTCCTAACGGTTTTTACGTCGGTATCTTGGGAGTCTTCGGACCAAATTTCAAGGCAATCCGTTAAATTTACCTACCCGATTAAATCGTTCTAAGAAGGTACATTCGCATAAAAGCGAAGTAGATTTTACTTTGCTTCCAGAAGTTTCCCAACAATTCACGCCTTTAGGTGACTACATGTCGAGTTATGTCATCACTCTGAAAAACTCGAAATGCCGACCGCTAATACGAACACAGAAGCGTCCTGGAGAGTCTCAGGAGACTAAAAAAAAACATATTTTGCGGATAACTATTTCTCAGTTATTCGTTACAGACCTTTTGTTCAATTCTTCTGAACGGCAATTTTGATGAAACTTTTCTTTTTTCAACTTAGAGCGGTTTAAGCACGCCGCGGTATAATTTAACGGTTGCTAATTGAGTGCGAGTAGCGAAAATAGCTTAAACCAGAAGCCTTCATAATATAAGTTTTGGTGAGATTCTTTCGCCATTCCGCGACGAATTTCTTTATTTTTAGTGCTGACAGCCAAGCTTCTTTTTATTTTCACCATTGGACTCGTCTCCTTTTTATCTTTCTCCATTTACATTCTAGTTTTGAACGCAGATAGATAGCAAAGATCTCTACCGTGACGTGCAACCCAAATTAGGAGATGTTTTCGCGATTGAAATTCAAGGACCAAGATGTTTTGCCGCAAGAAACCCTACGGGAGTCATTTATGTCGACATGTTATAATTGGCTATTCACTCTCTGGCGGGATAAAAAATTGCCTCGGTTCGAAAATGCGTTTTTGGTGCCATCTTCCATCTGAATTTTCTTGAGGTTAGGCAAAGCCTAAGATTATGTGTGAAAAGATAAAATCTTTTTCTGTATGCTATTTTCTCTCCTTTAGTTAAACTTTCTCTCCAACTGAAAATAACTCTAAAGATATATTTCTCAAAACCGTCAACTGGGTGTCCCCTATTCTTTAAGCGTATCTTGAAACTCTGTGCGCTTTTTAGTTGAACACGAAACGTGACAAATTCGTTCTTAAGAAGCCCAGCGCTCTCTATCACTTGGTTATGCCTTTGCATGTCAAGGGCCAATTCCCAGAAGATAATCTTGTGTCTGGGAATGTTTTTTCTGACCTTGATTTTTATAAAGCCTTCGGCTGCAAGTATGACTTTCTGAATCTCGTCAGTGGTCTGCTGAGAACTAATTCACCACGGAGAAATGGCCATTAATACCTTTTTTTTAAACTTTCAAAGAAACGGGAATAGTAAATCTCCATTGCTTTTTCAAGAAGATTTTCTGACACTCTTGTACGGTTGATAATTCTTTATTCCTTGCTTTGATCTCTCAATACAATTCACTGCTATCGGGAGTAGCTCTGCTCTGAGTGAAAATGCTGCTCACCAGCTTATAAAGGTGACACTTCCTAAGCTGTAAATCGTCAAGCATCGTCATCGTTTCTATAACTAGCGAATCACGTTAAGTTACGTAGAACAGTTTTATGTACCTTCAAGTTGTTTACGCAGTTAGAAAATAATTCTCAGCCTTACCTCCAACATTTCCAGTTTAGTTCTGGTATAATAAAACTGACAAGATTAGGAAAGTGATAAATCAAAATTTAAGGAGTACTTTCTGGATCGTGAGTTTGACATGAAGTGTACTTTAAAAAAAATGCAATGAATCTGAGAGAAATCGAAAGTACAAGAAGTAGGCATTTCTCGTAATCAATACTGGTCCGAGACTAGCTTTTTCCAAATCAAATTACTCCCTCATTCATCAAGATGATTATCTTAATTCAAATATATTTTACCGCAATGTATTGATTAAAAATACCTCCTGCCAAGTTTAAATGGCCGTAGAGCTGATCATCGGCTTTCTTGTCAAACTCCCGATGGGATAAGAATCCATAAACTAACAGCTAAATACAAACTTTTGTACAATTAGATGAACTAAACTTTTGTACAGTTAGATGAACTATCTTCTCTCACAAGGGAAAGATAACAATTACTCTACTTGCAAATAGAAAACTACCAGGTGCTTACAATATTTTTTAACTGAATGGCTTTTGTTGATACATATTATTTTCATTCATGTTCTCAAGTAAGTTTGTAAACACACCTAATAAGAATTCTAGCTAAATGCCAATTTTTTCTTTTAGCATCTCTTCTTACGAACTGTTTATCTAATAAATGACACATATAATAATTCATGTACAGGAAGTTCTCTGTCGCTTGGTTATACGGTATATGCGTGTGCACGTCAAGGGTCGATTTCCAGAGAATAATATTGCATCTAGGAATGCTTTTTCTTTTTCTTTTTTCCTAACATACAGCCTTCGGCTGCGAGTGTAACTTTCTGAATCTTGTCAGTTGCCTCCTAAGAACTAATTCGCTGACGGAAAAAACGAGAATAGACAGTAAATCTCCCCATATTCATACTATTCTCGCCGCCACAAAACATTTTCACTCAACTGCGAAAGGATGCAAAAGACTTACTTTTCTTTTACGACCATGATGCAACGCCTTCAGAGGGCAGACGTCACCTAGCCCCACCCAGTCTCAACAACCTGGAAGGGGAAAATGAAATTTATACCTATTTTCTCCCCGTCCCGCCAGTGTCTGCCAATGGTCTGACCTTTTTCGTGTGTGTTGCCAAGATTTCAGCATATTGGTCATCCGGCCTTGCGCAATTGTCATCTTTTAATGTTATATAAGAAGCTGAAGAACAAAAGGGAAGTGCTGTGGATAGCAATATATATGTCTCATGAAGTTAGTTACCGGTTAAATCCTTTGATAATGAATTTATTCCCAACAACCATAGTTCTTTGGATAGCCGTAGACGCTATTTTACGCGGAGTTTCAGCAGAATCAGGTAAGAGTTAGCGTTAGACGACTTGAAGCACAGCATCTGAATTAAACTTTAAAATGTTACGTTGAAAATATTTAAATATTTAAAATTTAACAAGACCTGCCGCGCTACATGACTCTCGTACGAAAGCGATCTCAACGTCGTACCTCTGCAGAACCAAAAAAAGTATCTCAAGTATGATTTTGTACTTTCCATAGCTGTAGTCCCGCGGAGAATTGCGCGAATAAATTATTACTTGGCTTCGATGCAACTCTAGCCCGACGTCTGAATCAGAGTCTTACTTCTGCCGTACCACATTTTTTAAGCGTTAACTAAGCTCTGTTAAATTTAAAAGGTAGAAATGTCTTATAAGGCGGTTACATTTCTTCTATCTATTTATGACCGAAAGACGAGGGCAGAAACCTTTCGTGAACCGATACTATAACTTTGTTTTAAATACCTCGCTCGAGTTTAAGGTTTTAGCATAAGTCCTCATGAGGATGTTAAGTAAGACTAAGGCTTTGGAAAAAAAACTTTTTCAGGAAGTATCAACTTTTTCTGTTAATACTTCAACCTTTTTCTGCAGGCGTAAAATCCAGAAAAATTTTAATCGCAATCATTTTGAGCTTAATAAGGACGAGGAATAAGCGTGAACGGCCAATTTTTTCTTATTCTTATAAATCCTATGTCTGGATACAGACCACATATTTATAGCCTGTTACTTCCTTAGCTTCAAAACAAATGCAGCACAGGATTTCCGCTAAGTGATGAATGTCAAACCAAAATACAGTATTCCTGTCACATATACGTTAAACAAAAAATTGTGATGCAGATATAGATCGCACATAATCATATACCAATCTGTCTCATAAGTATGTATTAGCTAGCTTTTTGTTCTTCTGTTGTTGACGAGTAATTGCTCTAAAGCATAGACTATTCAGCAGACAGCACTAAAATACTGTACGACTACATACTGCATTTCAATCGCCGCTCGAACCGACCTCCTGTTATACAATTATGTATGCAACTTCGTACGTAAAGTATATAAACAGGTTATTATTTTCGAACGGAGTTCTGCTAAGGAAATCACTGTTTCTAGTCACTTTGCAAAAGACTTCATGCGTCGCATCGCCTTGTGAATGTTTTCCTCTTTCGGCAGAGTCCAGAAAGGCTTCTGTTCGCAGATAGTTATCACGTTCTGGATACGAACCCACGGACGGATGTTTCTTTTATGGCTTGTGACATCACCACAAACATGCTGTTCTCGCAAAGAATAGGCTCTTTGCATGACTTGATCACGTCCATCTCCATTCATCTTAGGTCTTACATATACACTTATGCAAAGTTCTACCCGTCTATTCTTATGGTGTTGCGTTACCTTTCACGACTACGTCTTGTTCAGACCCGTAGTAACATTTTGACTGGTCGTGCCTCAATAGACCCTTTTCGTTTCACGTGGTCTACGCCTTCTATTTACAGTGCTTCTTCTTTACGAATCCTTCTTTCTGCTTGATGAGTGACACGAATGTTCTGACTCGCGAGTGACACGAATATTCTGACTAATATGCACATTTGGATTGTTCATGCTTCGATAGACCTTTTTTAGTCTCACACGTCATAGATTGGTCACGAGGTCTACGTCTTCTATTTATAGAAGGCGTAGCGCTTCTCCTTTTACGGATCGTTCTTTCTGCCTGGTGAGCGACATGTATTCAAAGGTTTTTGTCTCTTTGTAATGCCTTTGGAAGTTAAGGGTAGCACTTTTGTGTCCAGAAAGATAATTGCTGAGTTTGATATCTCAGCCTAGAATAGTGATTGTATTGTGGTACAATGTACAGAATCGAGAGGACATAATCTCTTGAAAGAATGTAGCTGTTTACCCGTTTTACAAATTGGCCTTTTTTTCTGTTCTACAGACAGAAAACGTCGTCAACAGACCACTTTCAAAGTAGCGATTTACTTGTGCTCTGAATGATAATACCCGTTTTCATTTTTTGCCTTTAAAATGTTGACAAAAGCTACTACCGTTCTGGTATTCGTTCGGTTAGTGAGAAAAAGTATCGAGATCCCGGATAATAAGAATATGGTCTGAGTGGGGAGCGCGAGAGTTGCCTGCCAAATATAAAGGGTTCGGACATGCACTACGCATCTTATGACGTCACTACTACGCTTCGACAAGTGATACATAGCGTGGGAGGGATAGTATCTATAGGCTTACAATTTTTGAATGAGGAGGCTATAAAGGGGAGAAATTTTAACCCATGCAGAATGGCGGCGTCTTTCCATGGTTCGTATTCTGAAGTTCTTTCACGGATTCCCCCCAAAGATCCCGCGAACATTTCAAACTACAACATAAGCTTTAAAGGAAAATTAATAGAGAACGTGAAAGTAGGTTCTTGCTATGAGACCGCAGTGAAGTTTTCTTTGATAGCAGAAACTGGCAACGGTGAGAAGAATTTTGAATTTGAGGCCGATTCGAAAATGAAAACAAATGCAGATGTGTCTACAACGTTGAAATCGAACAACGTGGAAAGCCCGAATTGAAATTCATGAAGAGAAAGAGTATAGAATAGGCGAGGTAAATACAACGTAAATACAACATTTTTTCGGTTTCACTGAACTCCGTCCACCACAAAGAGAGACAATAAATGCTACCATGAATGGTGAAATTGTTTTGACTATAGTCGGAACTGGTGGCGGAAAGTCAATCACCTTTCCTAGTAGTTCCACCAGGAGTTAAAATTTCTGTTTTCCTGTTATCCCAAAAGCATATCCTTGTAAACGATCATCACTTTGAGTAGAAGTATCGTTTGTAGCCTCGCGTGTTGTTGAATGTTTTTTTCGAAATCAGTTTTGTTGGGCTCAGTTCTTCCAACTGCTTCTTTAAGCACAATAATTTTGCTTCGCTTGCCTCGATTTCTGTTTGTTTGTCTTTTACGCTTTTCAAAAGCTTTCTGTACTCAAAACTGCACACCGGAATCTCAGTCCTCTTGTAACACGTTTTCTTACAGTCCGCCATCTTTAGTGATAATATTCGGGGTGATCCTCGTCGGGGTATAGAGTGTCGCATGGTCAAAAAAAATCTTTCTCAGACTACCCGGGTCCCGCAGCTGGTCTTTTAAGGTGACACGGCTGGTCACAAATCGTCGATATTTGGCAGGCAAACAAATTGCTCTTCGGGCTTTGCGTTCGCCTCAGACCCCCTTGCGCTCCGCGCTCGGTCCACTCCTCTCCCCCTTCGCGCTCGGTAAGAAGAGAGAGAAAGTTTGCCTGCGGAGGGGGCTAGTAACCGCTCAGCTTTAAAGAAACCGTTTTACGTGTCTCAGATGATTTTCGAGCGAAAAACCATTCCAAAATCTTCAGGCCGAACCCTTCTCATAAATACGAAAGTATTTTTTTAAGTAGTTAAGACAAAGGATATCTTTCTATTCTCCCCTCTAAAGCTCAAACCTTACTAGATTTCTTCTTCTACTTGCCCGCTATAAATTAATGTTTCGAGGTGGAGGAGGAAGAAGTGGAGGTGGGGTGGGAGGGAGTGGTGGGGGCTGCTAGCCTGCTCCTGGGTTCCTTAAAAGAGGAGCAATCATTACCAAAGTCCATAAGGAGACTTAGCTTTTCATTTGCATGGCAGCAGCAGTTTTGTTTTTAATAGCACGCTACATGGTCATTGCATTCATGTGTTCCAAAGAAAACACATGTTGATGAAATTGCGCGATGCTTCATTTTTAGAGCGTTAGAAAGGTTTCTACAAGGATTCTACTGGTAATGAAAAATGTATACCTTCTCCTTCAAATTCAGCCTCAAATACTGACAGAACTGGTTACATGTACAGATGTAATGAAAGTTACTACCGACCATCTAATGTGACAGATTGTGAAGGTATGTTAGCTATTCATAATGGTCTCGTCCTAATCATTACCAAGTGATAAAAGATCTAATACCTGAAGAGGATCATTTCGAGGTTGTCTTCGTGGACACGCTCTTAAATATCTTAAAAAGTAGTGAAAGGTAGGGTACTGGTGAAATACCTGTTATTTATTTCTCATACTCTAGTTGGAATTCTTCCTGAAGGTATCAACACTGCATTTAAATAGGCTGTTAAGTAATTTGTCGGGAATTAAATTAAAAGTTGTACGCGTAGAAAATGGTGTCATGACTGAGTGGAGGATTGTCAACATGTATTTCATATGTTGCTCTTGCTTTCAAGGAGTCACAGGGATTTTTTATGGTGCAGTGATTGGATCAACTGCTACAGCGGTTGTTGGTGCTGGGATACTCTTTTTCGTATGGAAGTTAAGAGAGCGTAACAGCAAGAACTCAAATGGTAAGAGTTGTATAGTGCCGACTTTTATCCCGAAGGAAAAGTCGCGTTGTTTTTTGTTTGTTAGCTTGTTTGTTTTCTTTTTTAAGTCTCATTTCAAAACAAGGTAACTTTGAAGATTTCGTCCCATCTACTATGTTCTAACACATCCCTTTTTAAAAAAAAATACATATCAGTGTCTAACTTAACTTGAAATGCAGACTCGAAACTTGTAAGAAATTCACAATGAAATTTTACAAACGCACGATGAAAGAAAATTCAAGAAAAAAACAACTGAAGTCAATCGCGGAGAACAACAAGAGTACGCGGAAGTGTCCACGTCAATTTTAAATGTCAACATTTAGTCTGTAGAAGAGATTGGTTGATTTGTGAAATCACGTGCACCACGCGTGAATACCAAAAGGTGTAGGTCAGGCTAGGTGAACACAGAGAATGTCCTCTATTTGTTGCGTTTACAAAATACGCACACCTCAAAAAATTCACAACCGTGGTTGTATGCCCTCGTTTGATCATCGTGTTTCTATCATTTTATGATTTCAGTTATTGCACTAGACTTGTTGCTCACCACTTTTAAATCAAATTATCCATGCCTAAAAAATAGAAATACCAGAGGACATTATTTTGTATTGCCTATGAATTAATCTCTGACTTTCTCTCAATATACTTTTCGCACTGGGTTTTCTTTCTTTCCTTCTTTCTCATGATACGTTTTTCATACTTCATTTTTCTTGACGTCTTGGGAACAGGAAAAAGAGAAAGGTGAGATTTTTAGAACGATAAACAATCGTCCCATTTAAATTTTTTGTTTTGTTACCTGTTACAAACTCTGTGCAGCTGTTAATTTGTTTGTTAGATATAAAGATGGATTATAATAGTTACCCTCGGTGCAAGAGCTCATCTCAAGTCAATTTACTAAGGCATCCTTTAACGTGACGACTTTTGAACCACTCGCGAGATAATTACATCTGGATAGCCCGCTCGTGTGGGCAATCCAGATGTAATTATTATTTTCTAGAGCTAGTCCGCTTGATGCTAAGTACAATATGCTTAGCCATAATATTTATGAAACCTTATCATGACTTTCTTTGAGCCAACACAGCGGTGCAAAATGTGGCGTGCTGTCACTAATCGTTTAATGACTATAGCTTTGGAGTGCTCAGAGGCGGGCTTTTCCATCGGAACAAATCGTTCACCTTTTTTCGTCCAATTGAATTCGAATTTGACAAAAAATATATGTGATATTCCTTTTTTACTTTTAGGACAAACAGAGAAACAACAGAAGAGATTGGACTCGTTGATGTAAGTCACTTGAAGATTTTAACAATTGACCTTAATGTGGTGGAACACCGTACATCCTTTTTCCCCAGGAGGATACGGCAACGCATCCTGAAATCTGATTGGTTTTTATTGCGATTCAGATTTTTCATCTCTGCCCAAGTGCACAATAACAGTAAAAAGTAGTCATTTAACTCGAGTATGTTTGCAAAACCAGTCCTGTTGTTCAGTCAGAATTTGGGATACATTTATTGATTTTTCTAGGCCGTCTCTAATTGGCAGGTATCAAATTTCGACAGAAAAATTTTTTCAAAGTTTGCATGGAAGTCTTTTTAAGTCACCGTTGTCGTGTATGCAAATGGCGATTTTGTGATGAAGCTTTTATTTTTTTTTTTAATTCAATAGCCTCGGTTTGTCTTATTTTCCACTCGCTAAGATATTTATCTGTTTATGGAAGTACTTGCCGTATTATCGGTTTGTAGGAAAACTGTGCCCTCTGATTTATGCTCTTCCCAAAACTTAACGACTTAGGCTGGTGAATAACATGAATATATCATTGGACTCATAGTTCCAATTACAAGTACTGCCTCAAAGTGAACAGGTTGCGCCAGGAAACAGCTGAACAAATTGAAAGTTTAATACGAACTGGCACATTTCTTTTTTCTTTTTAACTCAGCTCACTTCAGCTTCCTTTTCAGTAATAAATTCACAAAACAAAAGTAAATGATCGATATTTTCATAGGCGGTTATGAATTTGGGCAACAGGTACTAAAAGAAAATAGACTACCTAGATGATGTTATGTACTAGACACATTCGCACGAAATTGTATACGTGAAAAACGGAATAATAAAAATGGAGGATTTGAGACACTTTCCACTGTAGTCTAAGTAAATGATTATGTTTATAGACTTGGCTTGAAATGACGGAGCCTTCTCAAAGCCACCAGTGCATGGCATTGGATGAGCGGAATCGGTCATCCCCATTACAAATACAGAGCAGACGAACCTTCTACAACCTTCCGAGCCAGTAAATGACTACTCCTCTTTCTATTCACCGCCACGCTGTTGGGAGATTCCTATAGAGCTCGTGACTCTAGAAAAGGTCATTGGTGAAGGGGCTTTTGGTCAGGTTGCTAAGGCAGAAGTCAGAGGCCTCCAGGGAAGACCAACGACGACACTCGTGGCTGTTAAGATGTTGAAAGGTATGAAATAAATGATAAAAGTACACGCGTTTGTGTGAAACTCCGAAGTAACATTCTCGCCAAAAAAAAGAAGTAACCTCCAGCAGATACCTTCGTGACCTCAGTAAGTTGGTAATAAGACGCTCTGAAACTAGGTATAACTAAACCATGAATAATTTGACTAGACTTTGTAATCGAGACATGACAAGCGTCTCGCGTGTAATTAGCATGAAACTGGAACGTTCGTTATCAGCTGGTAAGGCTCCCCTTCCAAACCATTAAGAAAAGCTACCCTTCTTTCTACAAGAACTTACTGACACAAAAGGTATATAAGTAGAAATTTAAATTCTTGCTGACATCAAATCTCCTACCTCCCAACTACTTAAAAGTAGCAAACTTGAAAGACTGTTTTTTCCGAATGTAATTAGTATAGCGTATTTCATAACCCTATTATTATTTCATGACAACATGATTTTGAGTGGGATGGTCTATGACTGAGCAACACAGAGCTCAGAGTCAGATAGGAAATGTGCCACTTATTTCGCTTCAGTTGCTGCTATTGCTTGGTCTTTCAGAGCACGCTTCCGAATCGGACAGGAATGAATTGTTGTCTGAATTTCAATTGATGAAGGAAATCGATGCCCATCCTCATGTCATTAAACTTCTGGGGTGTGTAACGAGATCTGGTAAATATGGAAAAGTATACTCTAATTGCCCAAACAGTTATTTTTGGGCCGATCTCTTTCTCCCTAAAATTTTAACATACATTGCATATTTTCACGCTTCCCATGTTTTACAGGACCATTGATGGTGTTAATTGAATATGTTCCCTATGGAGATCTACTGGGATACCTGAGGAAGAGCCGTGGATTGAATGACACTTACTTCCAAGACCCGGATATCAAACCAAAAACAAATCTGACTTCAAAGCAGCTGATGAAATATGCGTGGCAAGTTGCCGATGGAATGTCATATTTGTCATCGATACCAGTAAGCAAGAGCGCCATATTTAGTGAACTGTTACATTGATCATAACTTTTTAGTATCTTCGTTCGATTCTTTTGGACTCCCTAAACTGGTTTCGTGATTTGTGTTGATCTGTCGTAGATTATCCATCGAGACATTGCAGCTCGTAATGTATTGGTTGG